CCGAACGGCATGACCACGTAACAATAGGTCCCTCGACTCGTTACGAAACTCACCCTCTTCCAGTCCTCTCTCGCCAAGGGGATTTGATGGTATCCCTGGGAGGCATCCATCAGGCTCAACAACTCGCACCCTGCCGTCGAGTCGACCAGCTGGTCAATTCTGGGCAGTGGATATATGTCCTTCGGGCATGCTTTGTTCAGATCGCGGAAATCAATGCACATCCTCCACTTCCCCTCCGCCTTTGACACCATCACCGTGTTTGACAGCCATTCGGGGAACTGAATCTCTTTAATGTGTCGCGCTCCCAACAGTTTCTCGACCTCCTGCTCGATGATTTTGTCCATCTCTGCCCCATGGTGCCTTCTTTTCTGCTTCACCGGCCTCACGCTGAGGTCGATGTTTAGCCGGTGCTCGATCACCTCCGCACTTATTCTCGTTAACTCCTCTGCTGTATAGGCAAAAACATCAGCGAATTCCCTGACCAACTGGATCAACCTCGACCGAATAGGCTCTTCCAGATCCTTTCCGATCTGGAACTTTCTCCCTTCACACCCCTCGATCATTTGAATCTCCTCAACTTCTTCCCCAGGTTGGATATCCATTTTCTTCTTTCCTTTCTCCACTTTCTGTTTATCCTTCTTCGACCTCGATCCCTCTGGTCGATTAATCTCCTCCCCCTTCGACTCGGCCTGCCTTTTTGCCAATTGCTTGTTATTGCTGACTGTCGTTTGGTTGCAACTTCTCTAAGTGAGCTGATCCCTAGCAATCTCCCCTACGTTTTCGCCCACCGGATATTTGATTGTCATGTGGTACGTGGATACGACTGTCTGAAATGCATTCAAGCTCGTCCGCCCCATGATGATGTTATAGGACGACTCAGCCCCTGCAACCACAAATCTCACCATGCGCACCTTCCTCAACTCTCCCGATCCCAATGCCATGGGCAAACTGACCTCTCCCATTGGCATAACTTCTCCCCCGTTAAAACCGTAGAGCGCCGTGGTCCCCGGTTTCAGCTCCATATTCAGCTCCTTGTTAATCTGCACAAAACAGTCATAGAACATCACATCTACCGAACTCCCGGTATCAATGAACACCCTCTTCACATCGAAGCCTGCGACCTCCGCGGTTATCACCAAAGCATCATTGTGCGGCAAGACCACACCCTCGGCATCCTCCGCCTTAAAACTTATCACCGGCATGCGGGTCGTAATTCCCACCTCCTCTCTCTTCCGCTTCACCGCTCGAGCATGCTCCTTCCTGGCCCTATTCGAGTCACCATCCGTTGGCCCACC